AAAACGTAGTTCTTCTCCATTACGAAGATTGTAGTTTTAATGCTATTTGAGGAAATAATCACTGTTTATTCTAAAAATCATACCAAACAAATAAATACAATGTGGGAAAATGCACGTTTACCGCTCAACCGTTCGCCATCGGCGACTAGTGGTTAGTGTGCTCGCCACTGGCCAAGGTTCGCTGGTTCAATCCCGGCCGAGGTAGATGGATTTTTAAGGGTGATAAAAATCCGTAGCACAACTTCCTTCGGAGGGGAAGTAAAGCCAGCGGTCCCATGTCGTACATTTGCGGCATGTAAAAGAACCTTACGAGCATGATACGAGATGTTTCGTAGGCAAAAATTCAGAGGCCATTTCTCACCCAAGTCTCCTGATTTAACTGCTAGATGGCTCTGGTAGTCAAATCAGGATTGAATATAAATTGTGAAGAGGCAGTGGGCTTGTCACTCAGTACTCATAAATGCACATTTTAAAGACAAATAAACCTCCCACATGGGAGGAGGCCAAGACTCGACTTCGGGCTGTTGCGCCATAAGAATAATAATAATAAGATAGTATTAAAACAAGTGGTAAATATGGTTACCATTGGGGTTCGAAGAGTTTATTATTCTCGGGCCGTAATTTTATAAATGAAGATAATCAATTGAAGCTTCGTGGCAAGTCATTAAAATGCTACTAACTCACTATTACAAACAGGTTCACATATTAATTTTCTGTAACAAAATCAAGTCATTAGTGAGATATTTGTCACAGCGTTTGATTGTGTAATCTTTCAGTATCGGGTGTAATTCTGTTCTTGTGTCTGTCATAGCACTGACGACCTGAATAATGATGATGGTGACAGCAAGCACCTCTGAAACGTCGGTATACTTTTACCAGACTTCATCAGTCGCTTAATTGTGTTCATGACAATAGTTGAACTTCTTTTGAGTACCGAAACCCAGGAATTGTCGTTGTGAGGAAAATGTTGTTTTCCGAATTTAGCGTAGTGTAGCTGCAGCTGATTACAGTAGAATGTGGAGTAGGTAAGCCTTAACTGTTCTGGCATGCGCACAGACTTGGTGGTAGCAGGAAGAATGTCTTCTGTGGGCCAGGTTCAGATTCATCCTCAGTGATGTTACCTCGATACACATTTATCACCTCGTTTTATCGTTTCGCGTCACTTTCTTCATACATTTAGCGAAAGTTCTTGTGCTTAATGTACAGTGTCATGGTTGTACGTCATGTTACTCAACCTCATTTTAAACTCGGTCTTCGGCTTCTTTACTGACATGTAATTCGGTTCTTGTGCTTAATGTACAATATGATGATTATTCTTCGTATAAGGCGACCTCCTTTTAGAACGAGGTCTTCTATTTGTTTGCTGAAATGTTGTTCCGTTTGTTATATGTTTGTAAAATTTCATGTCATCTTTTTGTCATTATCATTGATACAAGCAGGGAAGATGGCGTGTTTCGGGGAAGTGTTCTGAATTCCTAATGTTCAGTAAGTTTCATTTTATTGTCGCAATTGTGATATATAATTGCTAACCTGGAGTCTCTAAAAATGAATTATGCATTAAATGAATATTGGATAGGTTTAGATTTTTGGTACGTTATTTATGAGTCGTAAAGGAATTTCACAGGAGACATGATGTAAATAAATCGAGTTTTAGTGGTGAATGACTTTATACATTTGAAATTTAAAAGGTAAGCAAGAAATTATATCCAAGTTTTAATTATATAATCGCACATTAGTTAAAATATCTTATTTTTATTTGTAATCACTGTGTTTTTAACGTATTTTGTCATTCACTTCACAGATATCCTGACTCAATCAGAATAACAAATTTTTTAGAATCTTAAGGGGTTCTTGAACCGCTTATTTTCATAACTAGTGCTCATTTCAAATTCAATTTCATCGGTGCTAATTTGTTTTGTTGTCCTGGGTACGCTGATGGATATAGGTATACTACTTAATTTCGCCACGTGTCATTAACAAAAACCTTACCCCCCCCCCATTTAATTTTAATCTTTCCACCCACATGTAAACTTCTCTTCCTCATGCATTTCATACTGCAGTGCTGTTATGTTCTTCCAAACTTCCACCAGTTTCCACACACTTTGGCCACAAAAATTAAGACATATATCGTTGTTGTAGTCTTTCCAGCAGCCATGTTAAATTCGTCACAATATTATAATTCTAAAGACAGAATTCAACGCATGCAAATGAGGGAAGTTAATGTTATTAGCAAACTGGGAAAGTGCACACAAAATCCTCGTGCGTTCTTCGAAACTGCTTTGCAACGTGCATTTAGAAGTATTAAATCCTCCTTGTTCAATAGTTCCCACTTCGGCCACCAGATGGTAGTACCTCATTGTCTACCACAAGACTTTCTTTCCTCGTCCGTCATTTTGCCATCACAGCTAGTAGGACGTTCAAAAATACGATTCTGAGGTCGTGCAGAATGGCACAACCTCCGCATCAAATTTCATCTAAATCTATCCAATGATGAGTTGACTCGACTGGACAGACAGACTGACACGATCAAGCCATAATACATTCTCGCTATGCACTTTATACAAAGAACGTATAACCAGAATATTTTTCAGTGCCAATAAATTTCATTAAAGATAAAATAAAATTTGTGTTTAAGTTATTCTTAAAAAAAGTCAGTTAATTATATTCTTTATATGAATGCAATTATGGTAGTTAATTCTTATAAGTGAAAGTAAAATACCACTTGGAAGACCTAGGCGTAGATGGAAGGGTATTATTAGAATGTGAAATTTCAGGTTCTCATGGCGATGAATATTACGATGTCTTCTGGGAAAAACGCCATGAAGTCTGGTAGAAATTTACCGACGTTCCATAGGTGCTAACTGCCTGTATTATCAAGGCGATGATGATGGAGGCAGTAAGCACCTCTGAAACGTCGTCAGTTTCTACCAGACTAAACTCTGCGACATGCCAGAAGACTGCAAATCTTAAGTATTAGAATGGTTCTTATGGATTGTGTGTTTATGGACTGGATTCAACTGGTTGAGGACAGGGACCGTTGTCGGCCTGTTGTGAACGGTGATGAACCTTTTGATTCCATAAAAGGCGGGGAATTTGACTAACTGAGCAACTGTTGAGTTATCAACGAAGACTCTGCTATGTCTAATTAGTTTCAGCACATTATAAATTAGCCAGTAATACGCCATTTCTTTAGCATAGAGTAAATAAAACTCTTAATAGATTTAGTTGCCTATACATAAGGCTCATTTATGCAAAAACTCATTCCCTGATTGTTGTGTTAATATCGGTCGCATAATTCTTCGAAGAGATGCAAGTTTTTTTGCTACACCATGTTAAGACAGGACTTGCATTACATAAAAGAATTGTGAAGTAACATTTCTAGAAATTTCCCCGTGAGTAGCCGAAACCAACTTCCGTTTCTCGGACGGAAATGATAAGCGAGTCTTTTTCATAATAAAAAGAACGACTGCTTCAAAAAAGAACGTACGTATTTTTTTGTAAAGACGAAATTTGTCACATTCTGTCGATCGTTAATCGATTTACACACTGTACTCTTGTCTGTTGGGACCTGCAACGTACCTCGTCTAGGCACAGACAGGTTCCCTTTGTAGAATAAGACTCTACATAGTAAATTGTTCTTACATCGGCACTAGTAAGAACATTTTTCTTATCTTGGATTGTTTGTGTTGTTGCCATTGTGTTATCGTTTTTGTTATATTATTATCAATATCATCATCACCACAACTGCTGCCTTCCTCAGGGGTCATTTTGGTACCTAGAATCAGAAAATTTGCATTACTCTTGCTGACGACTGAATTAAATCTTCCAGCGATTGTCTACTATTGCAGTTAGGCGTTGACAGCTTACAGAATTGTTGGCTAAATTTATTAAACTTCACCCTAGTTAAACGAGGATTATTTCTATAACCAGGATAAAGAATATGTTAAGTTATGGGAATAGACTACTCCAGTGTTTTCACAAACTTTAAACATTTGCAGGTAAATTAGAATCAGTTAACTCTCGAGCGGTGGAATTACATTATGATTAAGGTTTAGGTACAAACTAAAAAAACAGACTAAACTTTAAGGGTGGTCGGTATTAACGAATTTGTTCAATTTTTTAGAATTAAATTGACAGCAGATTTGAGTCTGGAACGACTTTTAATAATTTAGTTTCTGCCTCGTACCCCTTGAAAACATTACGCCTACCGCCGGTGATACGCATACACGTGACTGTTATGTAATTCCTGTATCACGAATTGACTGTATTAAATATTTCGTATGTATACTGCGACTGTAAACATTTTTCGTAATTATTTTTATATTTTTAACCATCATGAAATTGTTGACTTTAATAATTATTCTTGTATGCTTCCGTCTTACTGACTCTATGAAATAAATTTGAACGCATGTAGAGAAATTTTAGTTCTTTGCCACATTAAATGCTTTATTATATTTATTTTAGTTATAACAGCGTGTTACAGTGCTTGAATGTTTATTTACAACCACGCGGCATCACTTCTGTGCATTCCTCCTCATTAACGTATGTAAATGTACCAAATGTTAACATAATGATATCAAAAGAAAGCCGGTATTCGTGTACCTGCTGAGAACATAAGTGACCTAACTGTTCAAGTCACTGTCCTGCTGTTGTTGTGCCACTGTTATCCACGCAGTTTGTAAATCTGTAGATATGTTACAGAAAACTGGGTTTTAATTTAAATTTCGTTGATATTATATTGGTTATTTGTTGTGGTCAGTTCACACCAGAAAACCATATTTTCATTTTCGTTTTAGTGTTTATGGACATGTGTGAATCGATAGTTTGATGTTGGAGAGTTGCCTACATAAACTGATATTTCCGATAAGAAAGGGCTAGGATAATAAGCCAAAAATTAACGAGGGGCTCGCCTGAAACCCCCCCCCTATTGTTATCGTGTTGTAAAATTGGCCTTGGCCCTTGAATGAGCACGTAAGTAGAGAACTCGTTGCACTTTTCAGTCGTTGCTGTCTGGCAGTGCTGGGGGTCGAGAGATGCACGCGATCAAGAAGGGGCTGTTGTGGCAGCAGCGAGACCGGATCTTCTCGAGGTGGAAAGAGCGCTACTTCATCCTCACACGTGACTACCTGCACTGCTTCAAGCGATCATCCGGCTCTGGAGCCGATAAGATCTCCGAGATGGGACAGTTCATCTTCAAGGTAGGTTACAAAGTGCAGACCGGCTGCAAACTTGTGATTATAAATGTTTTGTGTCAACGAACTTGAGGATTTCTCACTTTGATGCGCTTTGTACGTAAAATTGTATTTTGGATTTTATCTCTCGTCTAAATTACAAAATTATAAAACTACACTGTTTCGGATGCTGGATTCTGTTTTGATCTTCTGGTAAAGGGTCGAAAAGGAAAAAAAGGCAATCTAGAAGATGGCTGTCTTCTGGGTTGTAGTCTGGTAGATGTTTACCGTTTCACAGGTCCTTGCTGCCTCCATCATCAGGGCGATGGAGGCAGCAAGGACCTCTAAAACCTCGATAAGCTTGCACCAGACTAAATATGTCGCAACAACTACCATCCACGTTCTTTCATATTTATCTTGTAATAATCCAATCTTTCGACTCGAAGATGACTTGTATTCAGGAAGTACTCGGTTTGGACCTCGTCCCGTCTTCGAGTTCCTGAGAATAGGTTTTTGTCGTTTTATGTTTTGGTTTTGTTGCTTTCAACAACGTTTATTCTTCGACGCATGTATTATAGCATGGAATGGTAGGATTTTTATGAATTAATAACTGAATGAAATTGTTGTGGCCTATTATAAGGCAAAGGAAAGAAGATGACGTTCCAGGAATTAAAACGAGAAGCCGAGAATAGGGACAACTGGAGAGCTCTTTTTGGGCAGAGCAATGGACCTGTCGTAAGACAGAACACTTAATAATAATAATAATTATAAGGCACTTCCCCAGTATATGTCTGGAGTGAGTTCGGAGCATCACAAAAAACCAAGATCCTTATGAAACAGGTATTCTAACCTGGGACCTACGAATACGATGCAGGTGTGTCAAAAACCGGTGCGTAACGTTGTACATTTAAAGCATTACACACCGAGCAAATTCCTACCTACTTAAGACATTTTTCTCTCTCGTTTGGCGATACATAAGCGTTGAAAAAATGAGTTTAAGTAAGGTAAGAATCAATGCTAACCTTTTTATCCGTTCAAAATATAAAAAAAACAAGAAGTTCATTTGTAATCGTGTCTGACTTGAGTGCTTAAGCTCGTAAAATGCATCTGCAGTTCGGCTTTAAAATGGCTTTGAACACACACATGTACCTGTTAATTTTTAACTACTAAGCGCTTGTTGTACGCACAATGTACATACATTATTTACGTGATATATGTTAAGCCTCCTTCATGAAACATTAATTCCATTTTAAGTGCATTCCGGTATAACCGCCTGAAATGTGGTGTTTACGAAGTGCTACCCAAAAGTTCAGGGATTTTGCCATTAAAAAAATTGCTTATCATAACTCCTAGTTTCCACCGTCTCCTTCGAAGTAGTCCCCTTGGACATGGATACAGATATCCCAGCGTCTTTTCCATGATTCCATGCATCCCTGGAAGTCTTCAAGTGTGAGTGTTTTAAGCAGCTCCTGCGATTCTGCCTGAATCTCCTCAATTGTGTCAAAACGACGGCCTTTTAATCGAAATTTAATTTTGGGGAACAGGAAAAAGTCGCAGGGGGCGAGGTTGGGCGAATAGGGTGGGTGGGGAATCACTGTCGTGTTTTTGGAAGCCAAAAACTGCCGAACAACGAGCGATGTGTGGGCGGGCGCGTTGTCGTGGTGGAGAACTCAGCTGTTCTTCTCCCACTTTTCCGGACGTTTGCGCCTAATGCTTTCCCGTAGCTTCACAATAAAACTTCCCGTTGACAGTTTGACCAAGGGGAACAAATTCCTTGTGGACAATGCCTAGGATGTCAAAAAAACGATCAACATGGACTTCACATCCTTAAAGCGTTTATACCACAAAAAAGTTTTACGTTGACTCATGGCATTCTCACCAAATGCTTCCACAAGCATGCGGTGGGTTTCTACAGCAGTTTTTTAAGCTTAAAACAAAATTTGATGCAGATTCTTTGCTCATTAAAATCTGCCATTTATGCAGGTTTAAAAAAATCGCAGAACCACTACAACACAACGTTACAAAAACGCACGAGACTCAAGAACGCTTCCTCTCGCCTTCACGGCTGTTGGCACACTAATTCACAAAGAGTACTGCTCGCCCCATCTAGCGGCGGCAGGCCATTCCACAACCGGTTCACGCGTGGAATTCAAATTCCCCGAACATTTGGGTAGCACCTCGTATGTTCACGCCGTACACTGTTGGAATTTCCACTGTGGGTTCCTGAAATTCCTCGCATTTTATGGAACTCTGAGGTTTATTACCGTGTTCGCAAGCCAATGTGCTGAACCAGATTAATGTAATTCCAACCCTATTTCCACAAGTTACATTTTAATATTATCTTGTCATCTACGCCTAGGTCTTCCGAGTGGCCTCTTCCCTTCAGGTTTTTCAACCACATGAAATTCCCATCTCTCCCTTGTGCGTTACATACCTCATCACGTCATCCTTGATCATTCTCATAATATTTGGTTGAGAGCACTAGCAATGGGGTTCCTCACTGTGCAATTTTCTCAGCCCCTGGGGTCACTTCTTCCCTGTTACGTTCTAATATTTCCTAAGCACTTCATTCTTAAAGACCCTTAGTCTATTCCTCCGATAACAGAAGAGACGAAGTTTCACATGCACACAAAACGGGCACAATTAAATATTTATTTGTAAATTATACTTTATTTAACCACGCTTTTTCAGTAGCTCAGACTATGTAGCGTCTAATAAGAGGATGATAATGAATTTGAAAGGATGTGGAAGGAAGTGGTCATAGCCTAATTTAAGGTACAATTAAAGTTTTGAATATTTTATGTCTACTTTGTACGATAGAAGACATACGATTTTAAGCAGGGTGGTAACAACTGTTCCGGAATTTAGTCTACTCATAACCTTTTAAAGTCCAGTGTTAACTATGTCTACCACATGCTTTAACAATCGATAATTGCCCACACAACGTATTCACGAGTCTCATAATAAACAGCAATTATTTCCCTAAACAGTATTAACTAACTGATCTTTACAGTGGGTACGTGAAGCGTTTTGAGGTACGGACTGAAGTTTAGAAAAAATGTTATGCTTTCTTTGCACGATGTACACGAAATGAATTCATATAAAGCTGGACATGCCCTCTAGACAGATTTGGATTACATTTGGTCTAGGCGTTATCCCATTGGGGTTTATTATTTCTTTAATTTTCTACAGTCATTAATACCAGCATGGCGTTGTTCCAAAATATTCGATGAACCTTGTCACATTCTGAAAGGATTTATATCAGTTGTCTGCAGTCTGGTGACGGGACTTGAAGGTGTTCTTGGGTTCCTCCGCATTTATTTGTAAACCAACTTCCGAATACGGCTTCTATGTTTTTCTTGTTGTATTTTCATATTTTCACCCAGTAAATTAACGTCGTCAGAATAAACCAGACGGTGACGAGTCGCTTCCAGTTCCAACACCTCTTTGTTTTCTTTGACATTCCTGATGGCATTATTCATAAACAAAGTTCAAAGGCGATGGTGATAGATAAACTGTCTTCTTGTCCAGACCATTCTGAATAGGAAATTCATCAAATGTTTACCTATACATCAGCAATGTTAATAGATTGTTTTTAAATTTTAAATTTTATTTTTTGCATACTGGCGTAGTGGCTTTGCGGTTAAAGGTGTGTAGGGTAATCGATCTTTCAAATCGTGAGAATGCGTGAGTTCGAATCCGGGTCGGGAATGGATTTAGGCTTGTGTCTTTGTTTTGTTTTTTCCCCCAGAACACGTTACAATAGGCTGACTTCTTACCAGGCAACGAGTTAATAAATGAAGATGTTAATCTCTTTTATATATTGAGCCCTACTTGACAAGCTAGTAGTCGCTCAGATAGCCAAGACCGTGTTCATAACAGTCGGCCACTTTTCCCTTGTCCTTCGCCAGATAAAGCCAGTGCACGCTGTCACATTGTCTGTTTATTATTCATTTAATATTATTCTCCTGTTTAGATCTTTAATTCATCTCATACATGCTGCATTTCCAGCTAATCTCATCCTCATTAATTTGATCACTGTATTGATATTTGATGTAAAGAGTAAATATGTTAGACTCAGTAACTGTAATAAAGTAATATGGCAGAAATATGTATTTGTAAAATGGTGGGATGATTGTACTCAGTATATCTTCGTTTTAAAGTGATGTCGTATGAATAAACCATGTTCTGTGGTCTGGGGGTTTTAGTAGTTATGAGCACTGTCTACTTCAGTTTTTCTTTCTTTCTAAAATTCCATTTCTCGAGCACTCGTGTGTGTATCTCGCGTACTGTACCTGACCTCGGAGCACACAAGGAGGGGAGCCTCTCGAATTATACCGAATCGATAAATTTGGTCCAGGGTTTTACCGGTTCTTATGGGCGACGCGTTTCTTTACAGCTTTGCAAAGATTGCCATCTTTATTCGCTGCGAACGTATCAACAGTAATAAATCTGTGTGCTTTTAAGTTTTGTCTATTCCTTTCCGAGAATGGCAAACATTTGAAGTATTGGGAAACAAAGCCCTAAGTTTTGTACTGTACTTTTGTGTTAGGTAGTTGGATAAATCTTTGAAAGATTGTCTTTTGTTTTGTACTATCACAATTTTAATGTTTTTTTCATAAGACACGTGGTATTATTTCCGAAGAGTAAAGTTGTGGAACCATACCGAACGAACAATTTAAAGTGGTTTTGATATTTAATTCAAGTTTCCCGGAATTGGTATGTGATCCCGTTAAACTTGGCAAGCTACGTGAAAATTGATTTATGCTTAAATTTCTCTCTGCGAAATGGTTTAAAGGAAGGTTACCACCGAACTTAGAGAATGTTGACACAAGAAAATATTCAAATAACAGTGGGTGTCAGAGAGAGAAAGGAATTAATAACAGAGATACGTTCATCTTCCGTAAACAGCTAAAATGTAAAATTAATTGTTCCAGAGTTCGTGTTTTCTTTACGAGATGTAAAACACATTTCTCACTAGCGCTCTGTCATCTTGAAGTGCATTAAAAGTAATTGAAAACTTTCTTTGTGATATGTCTCAGATTTGAAGTTTTAGTCACGATTCCTGAAGGGAGATGGTTGTGAAAACGTCAACATATTACGTGCAAGTTATTTGCATATCATTTCGTTGAAAATGACAACCACCTCTGTTTCTTGCTAGTTTACGGACTGAAGTGTGAAAGGATGAACATTGTGCTGTGAGTAGTCATTATTTACTCCCAACACGCAGAGAGGACTGTCACGTTAAGGAAGGAAAGTGGATGCACTCTGCTGCGAGCCGTCAAGCTAAGTGCTCTCAACCAGCGTACGCTTATTTTGCAGATTAAATTACCGACGACAGATTAGATTTTTCCCTCGAAGATTTGATTTTCCTCCCGCTTTGAAGTATTATCACTTTGTTAGGTTGAAGGTATTGGAGAAAATTGTAAAAGGCTGGTCTGATCGAAATACGTGCAAGATTGTACTTTATAGCAGGTTTAATTCCGAATATATCGTATGCATTGAAACTATTATTTCAAAACATTCTTGTTTAATTGCAAAAGCAGTTTTTTTAGATTTTTGTCGCAGTGGTAGGCTTTGAATTGTGTGCTGTAGAGAAGAAAGAAATAAGGTACATTCATGTCGTACCCCGGCGTTTTCAGATTTTGAAAACGAACATGCAAATGAAAACCAACAATAATTTACTATGCACATTAAATACATCAGTTTTCTTCCTTCCCTTTGTTCGTATTCCTTCATATTATTGCCTTTACTGTCTTCATAGTTTTTCATTTTAGCGAGCACCATCTTTTAAACTATATATGGTCTTCTATAATTAATTTAAAATGGATTTTCCACTTACGTGGAAGTAGTGGCGATTGTAGCAACATAATTTTCTCAGTATTGCCATATCATTTAAAGAATTTTCTGATATTCATTATCACAGATGACATACCATGCTTTGCCCCATCCTCCCTATTGTCAGTTTGAGACATCTCCTTAAGTAATAAATCTATATATATTTTAATACTTTTATTCTGTGTGGTTTCTGAAAGTACATACGTATATGAACACGTGCCATTTACATGTGCACCTTTATTCCTTCAAGGTTTATCCTTGTCGATACCAAACACTGTAATTTCGCACATGGACACTGATGATTATTGTCCAGGACTGGAACATTGCGTCGAATGTTTAAGGAACCTTTAGTACGAAAAAAAGGCAGTTGGTCCTATACATATGTAAATATGTACAGTCTAATATTATTTCTCAGTTTCTCCAGTGACTTGCAACATTTTACAACCATATAACATTACTTTCAGTTGCCCTGTGGAGTATCGTTTCTTTGCTTCTAAATATTTTTATTGCTTATAAATCATATATTGCAGTGGTCCCCAACCTTGTTGTGCCTACGGGCACATTTGAGAGTTTATGAGATCGTGGCGGGCACCAACCAATTAACAAAGCCAAATTTTCTTTTCTCTGGGCAAATAAGATATGGACACCAAATAATACTCAAAACAACACGACGTTTAATGATACAAGAAACCATGCAATCAAAAATACAATTATTATTACTCAAGTGAGAAGTTAGTGTGATGTTTGGCGCTGCATTTCATCGGCCAGTTTTTCAAATTTGGGAGTGTACGATGATGTTGCTGTTCGCAAACAATCGTCAGGTCGAGATCTATGCTTCGATTTTATAATGTTCGTGGTTGAACAGCCTTCATTATTCAGTATAACCTCTTTCCGTAACAACGCGGGCACCCAAAAAAAGCCTTCCATCCAGCATATGTTCCCCACATTGTTCTGTTTATGAAATAATTCTGTAAATTGTCAGTTTTGTAGACTTACAATATGAACTGGTTAAAATTTGCAGGTTAAGTTAGTAGAAGTGGAAAGGGTCGAATGGATCAACAAGAAGAATTACAGTACTGTAGCCCTTGTGCTAGGGCGGGACGGCAGAGTCCTGTTGAGAGCTGCCGATGGACTTGAAGATTGGTTTGAGCTGTTGGAAGTAAGTACAAGTTGCCAACATTGTAAATTAGAGTTGCTGAAGTAAAGTGAATGTTGAGTTTTACATTGGTTAAATGTTCGTATTCTCAATGGTGCATAAGCGATTTATTTTTATTTCCATGTTTTTTATCTTTTCTTTTCTAATTATGAAACAAGAGAGTGGATCTTAATACAGTCTCTCTACGTTAATTAATTCGTTGTATTGATTGTGAACATTAGTCACTGTAACACTAAAAGTTGCCTTTTCATTGTTGCTGAAGAAATTTGATTCATTTCACAATATTACAATCTATTTTCTTCATTATCAGCCTAATGGTTTGGATCCTGAAGTCAATTTTGACTCCGTTCTATCTTTTACGTGGCAGCTGTTGTAACATATTCCAGTATACGTATTCATTTCTAAAGGGATGGTACTTCTGTTTTGTTGCCATTGCATTGTAGTAAGCAAATACACTTTGTACTTCTGATCCTCCAAAATATGACTGTAATCAAATTCTTTTATGAAGAATTCTTTGAGATTCAACGATTTCGTATTTTTCATTGTCCTTATGTTGTTTTTTCAACGATTTCGTATTTTTCATTGTCCATATGTTCTTTACGGGCTCTTCACTGGGTACCCCCATTGTGTCTTTAATATGCCACATATTTTGAGTAATACGTTTTTGACACATGAGCCGGGATAGCTCAGTCAGTATAGTGACTAGCTATGGGCTGGACGATCGGGGTTCGATCCCCGACGGGGGCAGAGGATTTTTCCTCTATCTCCCTCCGCTCCCCCCCCCCCCAAGTGCCTGCATTGGCATGTAGCGGGACAAACTTTACTTTACTTTACTTTACGTTATGTTTTTGGCACACTGAGTAATTTAAAATATTTTATTGTATGTGTATTATTCAGAGTAAAGGTTTTGATTTGTTGATGGCCTCAGTGTGAAAAATATGATCCGAGACTCGGTTCCTGGCAGGGCAGTGATTTTTCTTCTTGCCACTGTCCGGAGTGGCTCTGGGGTCTAAACAGCCTCCTATCCAATGGGTACTTAGGGATTTTTTCCCTGGGGGTTAAGTGACAGGAGCTTGAAATTGCACACCTTCACGAAGTGTATGGAAGTATATCTCCACTTTCCCGTAACTCCTCCTGGAATGGTGCTTAATTAAACAGAGGCACAATTTCACCTTTAAATTTATTATTACGTGTAATTTTTGACATTTGTCGGATATTTAATGAGATAGTCAAATTTTTTATGTGATTTTAACTTATTACAAAGTTTTACTAATTTCCTACTCTATGACGTTGACATAACAGAAGGTGTTTTTTTTTTTTGCTAAAAGCTGCAATAGACAAGACACTGGCGTACAGATAAGTAAGCTTTTGGTGTGTCTGTGACACATTCAAATTTGTAAGATTTGAGGTTTTCACGGCGGTGAGTATGAAGATTTCTGTCTTCTGGGTTGTTGCTCCGTGTAGTCTGGTAGATGTTTACCAACGTTTCAGAGGTCATCAGGGACGGAGGCAGTATGACCTCTGAAACGTTGGTAAACATCGACCAGACTACACGGCGCAACAACCTAGAAGACTGAAATCTTCATACTCAAATTTCATTAATATATGTAAAAATTCTTATAGGCCTAACTTAAACTTTCAATCATGTGTTTTTATGTGTATGTGTGAAGGTCTTCTCTCTTTACATAGGAATGCATGTTGTCGAGTAAGGAACGTCGCCGTGCACTCCGTAGCTCACATGACCCCACCTGGCAACATGGAGACACTCATAACCTTAGTTCAATCAACAGTTCTTTAGAAGAGTGGCTTCTTGCGAGGCACAAGATAGGTAAGAGCACATCTTATGGTATGACCGTCGTTATCAAGTGAAGTCTTCACGTTTTAATGGTTGCTGTTTCTATAAGCAATATTAATCACATCGGTTCTGGGGCCCACCCAGCCTCCTATCCAATGGGTACCGGGGTCCTTTCCCAGGGCGTGATGCTGATCACACCCCCATCTAGTGCTGAGGTCAAGAATGAGTAGGAGCTATACATCCTCTCCCCCCAAGCGCCTACGTGGCATATAGTGGGACAGCTTTACTTTACTATTTTAATATTAATCTCATATCACCTGTCCTGCCTAAGCCAATTTCCCTGGTTCTGAAGTAAGAGTCATTAATATATGGATTCTTACCTCCATGCCTTCATGACCTATTTAAAAAAGGGCTGGGTGTTCAAACATACAAATTGCCACAACAGGAATCTTAATTCTAAATTGAGAAATGGTTTAATACAATAAAGCTTTGTTATGAACTTCCAAGTTATGTTGTTCCTACATAAACGCGTATTTATTTATTTTTCAACCCCTCGGTTAAATGTAAGGATATTATAGTTCTATTTAGTATAACAGAGCAGTAGAATGGAATAAATAACAAATTCCATGTATGTGAATGTATGAAGTCTGTTTTATGCATGTGGTATAAAGCAGTGGTATTCAACCTTTATTTGTTCGCGTACCCCCAGATATAATTTCTCTTCAACTTTGTACCCCCAAAGTTGTTGGTGTATAATTCAATACCCCAGGTTGAATACCACTGGTATAAAGTATGGAATATACAGTGATTCAGAGAAAACTGAGAACCTTTCGTCATTATGTTTATGTAGCGGGCCTGCAGCATTTATCTGACTCAGTGCCTGACCTGCCACTTCTCAAGCATCAGAATCAAGAGCGAGCAGAATCAAGGATGCCAGACGACGAGGAAGACGACGTGGACGAGGAACAGTGGCTCCGACGCAGGCCACCGAATCACGAGCAACGACTCTCCCGTGAGTGTCTTTCGTAGTTTACTTGTATCTTGTGTGGGTATAGTAGTTCTTTAGACAATTAATTTCCGTAAACTACAACTGAAATTACCTTATTTATAAAAAGGACAGGAATGCTGATGTTCTTTTATACCAATAATTCAAATGGACTCAGATTTTGTTTGCCCTATGAAATGGATATAACAGTTTAGGATATTTTTAACGGCGTCGAAAGTCTGTCCTTCTGCGTTATGTCAGCATTTTGAATTCAACTGTGTGATTTTATGTGTGGCATCTGTCAATGTTATCGTAGCAAATTGACTGCCCCAAAGAAACATGCTAAAACTGACTTACAGGACTTCCATCATCAAATAACTTAAGACATTCGTATTTAAATAAGAAGTTCTTAACGCAGTATTTTTCTAACAATTTTAATCCTTTATCATATAAATTTACCAGCGGTTAGAACGCTGGCCTTGTGATCCTGGGGTCCCGGGTTCGATTCCCGGCGGTGCCCGAATTTATAACTTGTGTTGGGCAAGGCCGTGGTCTAGGCAACACGGGGTTTTCCTCCGGGGGCTTCCCCGGTTTCTCCGTGGCACTCCATACACACAGAAGTAGGCCTAAAAACATAAGAACAGGTCCCAGTCCGAGAAAAGGATATGTCGCCAACCTCCTGTAAAGGAGACGGCGTAATAAAGAAGATATAAATTTACTGTACGATGACTTAGACTAGTGCATTTAAATATTTTTATACACTGTGTTTTGAAATGTTAAGTGGAGCAGAGACATTTAAATTTATTGTGATTGGTAAAGGGTCATACTTTTACAAAAATCCTGTTGGCAGTAGTTAGCTTTCACAAGATTAATGCGTAATACTGTTTTTTGTTTTGCTCTGCAGTCCTGACAGACATTGACATCAATGGTTGTGATATGCATATGGAAACTCCACCTCCTTCCATGCCTGCGACCTTCAGGGGCAGACCCACCAGCTACCGCCTCAACAGTGACGTGTTCTTCATGTCTGCAGGTTCATGTACACTTTTATATGTTCTCAGACTCTAATTTTTACAGTCAGAGTTTAGTGTAAAACTTTGGCCTTTAGGAATGAGCCAAGTTATCAGACGTTTTGCCATCATCAGGGTGAGTTTCCAAAAGAGCACCAACCAACTTATTTTCCTTGAAGATGGTAACTGTAATGTTTGCCAAAACATTGGATAACTTTCAACACTCAGTGTGGCTGGCGTTTTGCTGTGAATATAATAAAACATTTTCATTTCCCTTGGAAAAGACTGACGTTGCAATGCAATGCAATATTCAGACAGTAGGGGACTAACCCATAACACGTAAGTTCCTTTCATGGCTACACCGTATAGAAAACATTCAGTATATGCAATTTTTGGATTTCAATTATAAATTTAAGGTCCGCAGTGGCCGCGTGGTCACTGGGACCGTGGGTTCGAATTCCACTCAAGCCATGGATGTTTGTCCGCGTTGTCCTGTGTACAGGTAGGGGCCTTGTGACAGGCCAATCCCTCGTCCAATGATTCCTACCAAATGTCTATAGATCAAAGCCAACGAAAAGTTGGGACCCGCAGTGCTCAGGCACTTGAAGAACGGGTCGTTCCCAGTATCCCCAGTATTATAAATTTAAAACTGAATTTAGTCTACGAGGCTCGTCCTTAAAGTAAGTTTCCCTGGGGCCGTTTACAGAAACAAAACACAATTTCATGGAAATATTTATTGCAACAGATACAGCAAGTGTCCAGCTATTTTTCAACATATTCGCCACCGGAATTGAGACATTGGTCATACCGTGGGACCAACTTTTGAATACCTGTGTCGTAGAAGTCGCCCGCCTGGGATTGGAACCACTGTGTGACAACCATCTCCGCCTCTCTGTCATTCTCAAAACGCTGACGCTGACCGGACAGGAATTTCTTGAGGTGTAGGAAAAGATGGAAATCACTGGGAACGAGGTCCGGGCTGTAGGGTGAATGATCAAACACCTCCCAGCTGAACTCCTGCAGGAGACTCGCTGTCCGTCGAGCCGTGTGCGGCCTAGCGTTATCACTGACCGCACTTCACAGTCGGCGGGAGCGGGAATAAGAACCTCCA